ACGACTCACACCAGGACGAGGCGCCCGAACGACTCACACCACGAGGAGCCCGAACGACTCACACCACGACGCGGGCCCCGAACGACTCACACCACGAGGAGCCCGAACGAGTCACACCAGGAGGAGGGGCCCGAACGACTCACACCAGGACGAGGGGCCCGAACAACTCACACCACGAGAAGCCCGAACGACTCACACCAGGACGAAGAGCCCGAACGACTCACACCACGAAGAGCCCGAACGACTCACACCAGGAAGAAGGGCCCGAACGACTCACACCAGGACGAGAAACCCCAAACGACTCAAACCACGAGGAGCGCTTTCTCTCCCTCCTCCTCCGCCTCGTCCTTCTCCCGCTCCCCCCACAAGGAGGATGTACAAGGAGGCGGGAGGAAGGAGGAACAGGGGAGATATGCGGGGCCAAGCGGACACACGCCTGAAAAACACGACTGTCGGCATGCTTCGCAAGAGTTGCTGCTGTGAGATGGGCTGGTGGGGATACGCGAAGCGTAAAGAATTTTGAAGCGAATCCAGCGGTGGCGACGCGCCCAAGAAGGAGAAACCGAGGCGGCAGCTGTATCGGTACCTTTTCATCCTCTGAGGATCGACCACAACGACGACGACGACGAAGACGACGACGACGACGACGACGAGCTTTCGGAGAACGCCGGGGAAGGCCCTCGAAGCATGGTGCCCAGAACTGCCGCCCAACACCCTCCACGGGCATGCGCATGATGCCGTGGGCAGCCTTAACCTCGTCGCCTGCGGGCGCGGGGCGGACCCGGGGGAGAAAATCATCCTCCATCCTCCTTCCCTCCTTCTGCCTCTTACCTCCCTGGTCAACATCATTACCACAACCACCATAATCTTCATCACCACCGCCATCATCCGTTCTGCCCCCTCATCCATCCTCCTCCATCTCCACCATCATCATCATCATCATCATCATCATCATCATCATCATCATCACCACCATCATCATATTCATCAGCAGCAGCTCCACCGCCTTAATCGTGATCATCAGCGTCATCATCATCATCATCATCATCATCATCAGCAGCAGCAGCAGCATCATCAGCATCGTCATCATCAATCATTATCATCATCATCATCATCATCATCATCATCATCATCATCGTCATCATCATAATCGTCTTCATAGTCATCATCAACAGCAGCATCAGCAGCAGCATCAGCATGAGCATCAGCATCATCATCAGCATCATCGGCATCATCATCAGCATCCTCATGATCATCATCATAATCAGCAGCATCACCATCAGAATGATCATCATCATCATCATCATCATCATCATCATCATCATCATCATCATCATCATCATCATCATCGTATCATCATCAACAGCAGCAGCATCGTCATCAGCATGACCCTCCTCGTCCTCCTCCACCTCCGCCTCCTGATCAGTATCATCATCATCAGCATCAGCAGCAGCATCAGTATCACCATCATCTTCCTCATCCTCATCCTCATCCACATCCTCATCATCAGCATCCTAATCATTATCCTCATCACCATCAGCAGCAGCATCATCATCAGCATCATCGTCATCATCAGTTGCAGCATCATCAGCATCATCATTAGCATCAGCATCATCATCATCAGCATCATCATCATCATCATCATCATCATCATCATCATCATCCTCATCAGCATCATCATCATCATCACCGTCACCGTCTTCGTCATCGTCATCGTCATCGTCATCAGCAGCAGCACCACAATCATCAGAAGCAGCGTTGTCGTCCTCCTGACCCCTTCTTCTCCTCCTCCTCATCATCATTACCATCATCATCATCATCATCATCATCATCATCATCATCATCATCATCATCATCATCATCATCTTCATCGTCGTCGTCATCAGCAGCATCACCTCAGGATCATCATAATCATCATCAGCATCATCACAATGATTATCATCATCAGCATCATCATCATCAGCATCATCATCAGCATCATCATCATCATCATCATTACTCTCCCTTCCTATTCCTCCCTCCCTCCCTCCTCCTCCTCATTCTCGCTCTCGCTCTCTCTCTCTCTCTCTCTCTCTTTCTCTCTCTCTTCCTTTCTCTCCATCTCTCCCTCTTTCTCTCTCTCTCTCTCTCTCTCTCTCTCTCTTTCTCGGCCATGATGGGCTGTCCAAGCGCTCTACCCGAGCCGCTACGCTCCCGTCTCCTCAAAACAACTTCATGGCGAAGCCGCCCCAGATGTCTCAGACCCCTTTTGACCGCCTCCTTTCCGACGAATGGTGGACACACATGTGTTCGACACGAACTGGATGGGACGTCGTACATACGCTCTCGGAGTCAAGCCTGGCTTGCACGCTTCCTGCAATCAGCCTAGGGCCACGTCGAAGAACTCTGGAGGCCGCCCCCCAGACTTCGCGGCGAACGATTCCACCGTCGCAACAATGATCATGCGGAGCTGCTCGACCGTGAACTCGGACACTTCCTCGTCCTCGGTCTCGTCAGTTTTGGTTCTCGTCTCGGCTTTCCAGGTCTCATCTGCTTGGTTTCACCGCGGGGAGGTCGGCCACCTCAGGTCGAAAAGCTCGGGATCGACGAGGAGGAGGAGGAGAGGAAGAGGAGGATCGAGAGGATCGAGGAGGAGGATCGAGGAGGAGGACGAGGACGACGACGACGACAACGACGGCGACGAAGACGAAGACGACGACGGCGACGACGACGACGACGAGGGGCTGCAGGGACTGCGGCATCACGCGGGCCAAAAGCCACCTCGGATCCACCGCGAAAGCTGAGCGCAGCTCAGCCTCGAGCAGCGCCCGCTGCTCTCTTTCGAATAGGCACGATTCTCCGATCCAACGCTAGAGGATCCTGCCACTTGTTCGACCAAGCGTGTTGAGTTGGTGTAATTCGTTTCGTGTCGTTCGGCGTTCATTGATGGCCATGTTCTCTCTGCAGTGTCTCGAGGAGGATGATGAGGACGAGGGTCAAGGAGGAGGATCGAGGAGGAGGATCAAGGAGGAGGGGGAGGAGGAGCCTGAGAGGAGAAGATGCAGGAGGATCGAGGAGGAGGATCGACGAGAAGTATCGAGGGCTATGATCGAGGTGGATCAAGGAAGAGGATCGAGGAGCCGAACCGGCGAGCGTGGGTCGCCTGTCTGAGTCACGACCTGCCCCGGATGCACGGCGCCGACCTCGCGCGCCACGGGCGTCTCGGCTCGAAGCAAATAGTCTCTAACTGAAGGCCATTCCTCCTCTTCCACCTCCTCCTTTTCCTCCTCCTCCTCCTCCTCCTCCTCATCATCATCATCACCAATCATCATCATCATCATCATCATCATCATCATCATCATCATCATCATCATCATCATCAGCAGCAGCAGCAGCAGCATCATCATCATCATCATCATCATCATCATCATCATCATCATCATCATCATCATCATCATCATCATCTTCAGCATCATCATGATCAACATCATCATCATCATCGTCATCGGCAGCATCCTCATGATCATCATCATCAGCACCATCATCATCATCATCATCATCATCATCATCATCATAGCATCATCATCATGATCAGCAGCAGCATCATCATGATCAGCATCAGCAGCATCAGCATCATCATCATCATCCGCATCATTATCATGATCATCGCCATCGCCATCACCACGATGAACTGTCATCATCATCACCATCATCATCCTTCTCTTCCTCATCCTCCTCATCATCATCATCATCATCATCATCATCATCATCATCATCATCATCATCACCGTCACCGTCACCACCATCATCACCATCATAAACAGAATCCGCCGACCCTGTCGGCGTGTGGAAGACGCATCCCGGTGTCGTCGTCTTGCGTGGATCACCGTCGTCGTCGTCGTCGTCGTCGTCGTCGTCTCCGTCGTGTCCTCGTCGTCTCCGTCTCCGTTGTCCCTCGTCGTCTTCGTCGTTCCCCGTCTCCTTGAGCGCGCGAGCCAAAGCGACATTGAGCAACGTCGTAGTTGAGTCGTGGCGAAGCCCCTCCCTACCCTCCCCGCCGGGGGGGGGGGGTCGGGGGGGGGTCGCCGGGGGGGGTCGCCGGGGGGGGTCGCCACCCAGATACGCATCCTCCCCGGGGGGTCCCGGAGCTCAGAAAAGCTTCAAGACGAGCCAAGAGCGACAGAAGACACCCCCAAAAGGGTACAAGAGGGCCTCGACTCGACGAACGATGGCCCCAAGACGCCCAAGACGGCCCGAAGACGGCCCAAGAGGCCCTCAAGACGCTCCAAGAGAGCCCCAAGAGCACACCCAAGAGGGCCCCAGGCGCCAAAATCGTCAATTTTACATCAGGTTTTTGAATGATTTTGGCCTTCTCGCCTTTTCGGCTTTCCGACACTCCAAGACGGCCCAAGAGGCCCCCAAGAGGCCCCCAAGAGCGCCCCAAGAGGCCTACAAGAGGGCCCCAAGACGGCCCAAGAAGGCCCCAGGACAGCCTAAGAGGCGCCCAAGACGGCCCAATAGGGCCCCAAGACGGGCCCAAGAAACGGCCAAGAGGGGGACGAGGAACCGAGAATTCGAGACTTCCGCCCTAAGAGGCCCCCGGGAAGCCCCAAGAGGCCCCCAAAAGGCCCCAAGAGGCCCCCGAGCGGCGCCAAGACGCCCCCAAGATGCGCCGAAGACGGCCTCCGGAAGCCCCAAGAGGCCCAAAAGAGGCCCCAAGAGGCCCCACAACGGCCCCCAAGAGGCTTCAAGTTGCCTTCCAGACGCCCCCGAGAGGTCAACCACGAGATCCCAACCAACATCCATAAGGCCTCCTCCTCCTCCCCCTTCACCCTTCCTCCTCCTACTCCCTTCCGCCTCCTCCTCCTCCTCCTCCTCCTCCTCCTCCTCCTGCCCCCCCCCTCGTGTTGTCTTTCGTCATCTTCAGGGTCGGCGGCAACGGCCGTAAGGCCTTCGCAATAATCCTCCTCATCAGCAGCATCATCACCTGCAGCAGCAGCATCATGATCATCATCATCATCATCATCATCATCATCATCATCATCATCATCATCGTCATCATCATCATCATCATCAACAACGTCATCATCATCATCATCATCATCATCATCATCATCATCATCATCATCATCATCATCATCATCATCATTATCATCATCATCATCTCCATCAGTGTCACCACCACCATCATCATCAACATCATCATCAGCGTCATCATCACCATCATCAACGATATCATCCATATCATCGTCGCCACCGTTGTCGTGTCGTCATCATCATCACTACCACTAACATCATCAGCATCATCATCAGCATCATCATGATCGCCAGCATCATCGGTTTCAGCATCAGCATTAGCATCATCATCCTCATCCTCATCATGATCATCATCATAATCGTCATCATAATCGTCATCATCATCATCATCATCATCATCATCATCATCGTCGTCGTCGTCGTCGTCGTCGTCGTCGTCGTCGCCATAGCCATCATCGTCATCATCATGTTTCTCCTCGAGCATGTGCACTGCCTTCCCCTCTCTGCAAAACCCTCGAAAATGCTCCATTTGGGCTGGCTGGAACTCTCGAGCAGGGCGCTGTTATCTGCGGCCAGGCCTCATAAAAATGCACACCGTCATGTAATGTATAAACGAGGCCTGCACACCCGGTAATGCACCGGGAAGCCACCTGGAAGCTCGCTCGCCCAACACGCAACTATCATTAGAAAGTCCAGGGTTCGCTAGGGACTGGTTTCCTTTCAAAACAGCCGAAACCCTCCCGAAATCCTCCAGGAACCATCCTGGAAGGGTTCTGGGAGGCTTTCCAGAATGTTTCGGGAGGGTCTTGGAAGGCTTTTCGTCGTTTGGGAGGGAAGCCAGCCCCTAGCGAACCAAGGTTTTCTAAAACTGTCATTCAACATGCCGGAAGCGTGCGCAGGGTCGCCCTGGGGAAGGGTCGATCCATAAGACCTTCCTCCTGCGCGGGTCGCTCGGGGGCAGCGGACCCCGAGGAGATTCCTGGACGGTCGAAGGTCGCACCATGACTGCCCCGTCATGAGTCCAGGGCAGATCCAAGACGGCCCAAGATGGCTCGACAGCTTCTGGGCTCCCACAGACGTCCATATGACCACTCCAAGGGGGGGCCCAAGATTCCAGCAGGGTCCGAAGGGGGACTCTAAGCGGCCACCGACTGGCCTCTGAGCGGCGTGTTTCCGCTGCGTGTTCACATCACCTCGCCCGGGACAGCTCTCAGAAAGCAGTTGGGACGATGTTGCCCTTCCCCAACGACCTCATGGAGTCCCTCACCTTGGAATTCCGCTGCTTTGCTCAGAAGTCGCGCTCTGGCTGCTCGTGAATCGTGCTCTCGTGGGGACGTCGTGGCATTGGAGCCAGAAGCCGCGCTCTTGCTGGAGAAATCCTTGCACTGTACTCTGGCATCGTGCTCTCGTCTTGATATGCTGAAGAGCACGCGGAGGGGCACGCCAGGCCCTCGGCTGCATGAGCAGCGAGGAGCCGCCGCAGGCTGCACCTCTGGGAAGGCGCCCACCAGCGCGCGCTCGCACCTCGGCGCTGCTCCACCCCGCAGCGCGACGCCTCGAAGAGACCGCGCGGAGGGGGGAAGGAAGCCCCAACAGCTAGAAAAGATCATGATGTCACGATACGGACACGATCGGCTCGGGATGTGTCAAGGGGTTCCAGAGGGGCAAGCGGCCCTCGTTTCTGAGGCCCGCGTGGACCGTCAGGAATTCCTGGAAGCCCTGGAATTATTGGAAAATCTTGGAACGTATCGTTATCATGACCCCTTGCTCCTCGCAAAGACGGCCCCTCGACTGCCCGAGACTGCCAACACAGGCGGCTCCTTCCAATCCTCGCCCTCCCCGCCCTCTTCCTGCTGCACTGTCTGGCACGTCGCGCCGACGCCAGCCGTCTGGAGACCGTTCTTAGTCCTCGGAGATAACGCTTATCTCATAAAAATGGAGAATTGTTATCAGGTTATCTGGTTATCGGTTCTGTATGAACAATGAACAACAACAAAAAATGTCATATAACCATGTTATCTGATAACCTGGTTATCTGGCTGGGGGGAGGTGACGACCGAGAACCTCATCTCTCCACTCTGGGAAGCCCCGCGCCTGCCCGAGCGCAACGTGCACTGCATACCCATGTGAGGACCTGCGCAGCCGACAAGGTCCGGTGGTCTGGGGCGAGGGGGGGAGGGGGGGGCATGAGGTCCCGATCACCTGGGTTCATCGCCAGACCCTGCCAAAACGCGCCGCCAGAATGCAGTGGAGGCCAGTCCACAAGAAGCCTGCCACCAGAAGCCCCACCCTGGACCCCCAGGGCGCCCCTTGACTTCTGGTGTGGGAACGTCAGGCTTTCCAAAGCAAGACCATCGAATCCCAAGAAACCAAGGGCACCCTGGAGGCGAGCAGGGTGATTCTTGACATGGGTTTCCACTGCCATTTCCACCGCTCCTCAAGGGCTCCCAACTTCGCGCTTCGCGCTGCGCGAAGCGCGAAGTACGAATAACTTCGCGCTCTCGCGCCGCCTCCCGGGGGAGAAGAGGAAGATGAGGAATCGGAGCAGAAGCGCGAACAACTTCGCGCCCTCGAGGGCGCCCTTGTGCCATATCCACCACTCCTCGGGAGCTCGGGGCACGATCCCGAAGCGGTGGATGCGGGCAGCCTCTGGCGGTGGAGAAAAGTCGCCCGACCGTCACGCCGCGCCGACGCGGGCCGTCCGGTGCTGGACGCCGCTCGCGTGAGGTCGGACACGTCCTCCTGCAGGCGGACTCCGGAGGGAAATTTTCGTAAGATCGTCAAAGATCAAGGGGCCCCAGGACACACAAGTGAATACGCGAAAATCACAGGAGTCACCATCTTTCCCCATATCTTCTGGGTGATTGTCTCCCCCCCCACTTCCCATAGTTTCCCATATGTTCTGGGGAATCGAGGATTCATTCCCTACCTAGGCTTTGCCTAGAAGGGTTCTTACTCTCTTTGCTTAAAGGGCCGGGCAATGCTAACCGCCCCGGGCGGTTCCCCCAGTCCCCGCCCCGCGGTTCCCCCAGTCCCCTGGGAGCTTTAGCCTTAGCTTTAGCTTAGCTTTAGCTTTAGCTTTAGCTTTGGCTTAGCTTTAGCTTAGCTTTAGCTTAGTGTTAGCTTAGCTTTAGCTTAGCTTTAGCTTAGCTTTAGCTTAGCTTCAGCTGAGTGTTAGCTTAGCGTTAGCTTAGCTTTAGCTTAGCTTCAGGTTAGCTTTAGCTTAGCTTTAGCTTAGTGTTAGCTTAGCCTTAGCTTAGCTTTGGCTTAGCTGTAGCTTAGCTTTAGCTTAGCTTTGACTTGGCTTTAGCTTAACTTCAGCTTAGTGTTAGCTTAGCTTTAGCTTAGCTTTAGCTTAGTGTTAGCTTAGCTGTAGCTTAGCTTTAGCTTAGCTTTAGCTTAGCTTTAGCTTAGCTTTAGCTTAGCTTTAGCTTAGCTTTAGCTGAGCTTTAACTTAGCTTTAGCTTAGCTTTAGCTTAGCTTCAGTTTAGCTTCAGCTTAGCTTTAGCTTAGCCTTAGCTTAGCTTTAGCTTAGCTTCAGCTTATATTAAGCTTAGCTTTAGCTTAGATTTAGCTTAGCTTTAGCTTATCTTTAGCTTAGCTTTAGCTCAGCTTTAGCTTAGCTTTAGCTTAGCTTTAGCTTAGCTTTAGCTTAGCTTTAGCTTAGCTTAAGTTTAGCTTCAGCTTAGCTTTAGCTCAGCTTTAGCTTAGCTTTAGCTTAGCTTTAGCTTAGTGTTAGCTTAGCCTTAGCTTAGCTTTAGCTTAGCTTTAGCTTAGTTTCAGCTTAGCTTTAGTTTAGCTTCAACTTAGCTTTAGCTTAGTGTTAGCTTTAGCTTAACTTTACTGTTACTACTAATGCTGCTTTCCTAGGGGCTCCAACTCCTAGGTAGGGTCGCACATGGATAATTGTGTCTGTGTTTTCCCCCCTGGAAAGGGGAGAGAGGAAAGAAAAAAAAAAAAAAAAAAAAACGATTCAGAGGGAAGCAAAAGCAAATCACCGAAAACCGTCCCCTGACTTTTTGTTGACTGGTCTTGAATATACTCCTCCTGCAGAGGGCCGTGCCCGAGGCTTCACGCTCGCGCGACTGCCCGCGGGCTCCGAGGGGGGGCCCTCGGCGGGCTGCGGGGGGGCCCTCTGGAGCCCGAGGGTGGGCCCGCGGAGGCGTCGCGGCGCCGCGGGGTGGCGACGCCTCCCCTCCGGCTCTGGGAGGAGGAGGGGGAGGAGGAGGAGGAGGAGGAGGAGGAGGAGGAGGAGGACGAGGAGGAGGAGGAGGAGGAGGAGGAGGAGGAGAAGGAGGAGGAGGAGGAGGACGCGGAGGAGGACGAGGAGGACGAGGAGCTGCGCGACCGTCAGCGCCCGCAGCTCCTGGCGAGGATGGAAAGCACGGGGGCCGGGGAGCGCCTCCGAGGCCCCCTTTCCGAAGAGGGCCCGCAGCGTCTTGCAGGGCAGTTCCCTCGGCTACACGCAAGAGAGTGGCCCTGGGTAAGAGTGACCTCTGGTGCGCGGCTCTCTGGAGGCCGCGGGGGGGCCAAGCACAAGCGCGCAGGAGGCCACTGCCGCCTCGCGCTCGGCGATCGGGGGGCCCCATTGGGCCCGCACCGAAGGTCACTCCGGCGGAAGGTCACTCGGCCCCTCCGCCCTCCACCCTCGGGGGCGTCCAAGAGGGACGCGTCCAAGAGGGACGCGTCCAAGAGGGGGATTCGCCAATCATGGCCCGAGGCACGCGCGTGGCGCGGGGGGGGGGGGGCGAGGGGACGTGCTGAGAGAAGAAGATGGGGGCATGAAATCGAGGTCCTTGCCGTGGCCATGATATCCACCCCCCGCCTAGTCATCACCCATCTCTTGGCCGCCTCCAAGACCCAGAGATCCGATGTCTGGATTTCTCACCGCTGGGTCCCCGAAGTCCCGATCCTTTCCCCGAGGCCGACTTTTTGTCCTGAGTCGTTCTTTTACGGACCCGAGGCCGGGTAAGGGCCCCTTCAAGCCGAAAATCGCGAAAGACCTTCTGTTGTGATTGCTTCGCCCCTGTGGGCGTGCCGCCAGCAGAGTCGCGAAAAAAAGGCAGCATCGCGAAAAATGACGGCCAGAGCCCTGGACCCCACCTTTCTGCGGCATTGTGCGGGGCCCGCAGTAGAGGCCTAGATGGGGTCGGAGTAGATGGGGTCGGAGGGTCGCGTCACATCGCCGATGCATCGGCGATGCATCGGCGAAGCACAGGCGATGCATCGTCCGCGTCGGCGATGCACCGGCGACATGGACGTCGACGTGAAGCAAATCGGGCTCAACATCGAGCCGCATCAGGGATGCATCGCCGAAGCACAGGCGATGCGGCGCGGTCCTCCGACCCCGTCCACTCCGAAACCATCTAAGAGGAGGAGGAGGAGGAGGAGGAGGAGGAGGAGGAGGAGAGAGAGGAGGAGGAGGAGGAGTAGGAGGAGGAGGGGGAGGAGGAGGAGGAGGGGAGGAGGAGGAGGAGGAGGAGGAGGAGGAGGAGGAGGAGGAGGGGAGGAGAGGAGGGAGGAGGAGGAGGGGGAGGAGGAGGAGGAGGAGGAGGAGGAGGAGGAGGAGGAGGAGGAGGAGGAGGAGGAGGAGGAGGAGGAGGAGGAGGAGGAGGAGGAGGAGGAGGAGGAGGAGGAGGAGGAGGAGGAGGTTGAGGGCTACGGCGCGCCGTCGGCGCCCTGCGGAGCCCATATCAAAAGCTGATCGAAAGGAGGAGGAGGGGGAGGGGGCGGAGGAACCTTCCTACGGCCGTTGCCGGGGCCCGCAGCCGGGCGAAAAACGCCCGGCGTGAAGAGAAGCGCCACGCCCGGAGGAGCCCTCCGGGCTGGCGCGCCTCGCGAGGCGGGCCCGGCCACCTCGCTCTCGATGCACGTGCTGCGTGACGCGCGCGCGCGCAAGGGGGGCGGCGTAGGGGGGGCTTCTGAGAGGGCAGGGCGGCCTCGTAGACGGCAGGGGCCCTCTCGGGAGCGCCCGAAGAGGCTTCTGCGAAGGCTTCGCAGGGGCCCCCGGGCCCCTCCATAGAGGCCTCCTGGATGGGGTCCGAGTAGGTGGGGTCGAGTAATCGCCCTGCATCGCCGATGCATCGCCGATGTATCGACGATGCATCGGCGATGCATCGGCGACGTCGGCGTCGGGGAAACACGGACTCCGCATCGAGCCGCATCGTCGATGCATCGGCGATGCGGCGCGATCCCCGACCCCATCTAATCGGACCCCCATCTAAGAGGCCCAGACTGGAGGCTTCTGAGAAGGCCTCGAAGAGGCCCCCCGGCCCCTCCAAGAATCGGGGGCGCGCAAACATGGATTAGCGATCCATGGATTTGGCGCGCGGTCGCCAAATCCATGTATCGGGGGAGGCGCCCTCGCCAAAGTGCGGCCAGTGCCGCCCTGTTCGGCGGCTGAGGCCCCCCTGCCTTCTCAGGAGGCCCCTCCCCCCCCTGCGCTCTGCCCCCCCCCCCCGCGCGTGCCGCCAAGAGGGGCACGCCGGGGCGGGCCCGGCCATCTCGCTCTCGATGTTCTGAGTGGCGCGCACGATGGCGTCCTGCGCGCGCCGCCGGCCGCGCGGGGAGGGCGCCGACGCGGGGCCTCTGCCCCGAGCGCGCCGGCGGCGCCTGGCCCCCCCCCCACACCGCATGGGCAGCAGGCCGAGGTCGAGCAGGACGACGCCAGCGACGGCCGAGCGGCTGCCTCGGCCGAGCGGCTGCCTCGGCCGGCTGCTCGCCGTGCGCCCGCTGCTTCGGGCGCGCGCCCGCCGACGGCGGCGCGCGCTGGCCACCCAGCACGGTGCAGGGAGGAGCGGCAGGCAACCACTCCACCAAGGCTGCGGCGGGAGGCGCGACGACGGCGACGACGACGACGACGGCGACGGCGACGGCGACGGCGACGGCGACGACGGCGACGGCGACGGCGACGGCGACGACGACGACGACGACGGCGACGACGGCGACGACGACGGCGACGACGGCGGCGGCGGTGGAGGCGGCGGAGGCGACGACGACGACGAGGACGACGACGGCGACGGCGACGACGACGACGACGGCGACCACGGCGGCGGCAGGCCGAGAGGCCGAGGCTGAGCAGGCCGTGGGAAGCTAAAGCGCTGCTTCGGCCCGAGGGGAGCTAAGCTGAGCGGCCGAGTAGGCCGAGGCTTAGGTCGGGCATGTCCTCCTACAGGCGGGTTCTGGAGGACAAGATGGACAAAACAAGCATTCAAAAATCAAGAATCACCAAAGGAGAACAAAGAACTGTCCCCAGACTGATGTGTTTACGATTCTTGAATACTCCTCCTGTAGAGGGACATGCCCGGCTGAAGCCGAGGCCGAGCACACCGAGGGAGCTGGCCGAGCAGGCCAAGCAGGCCGGGTCTCGTGGCGGCAGGGATCGCGGCGGGTGCGCGTTGCTGCTCTCGGCCTCTGAGGGCCCTCGCCGGGCCCCAGGGCCGTCCACAGAACGATGCGGGGGTCCCAAACCCGTGCGGTGACAGACCGTGCGGTGACCTCGGAACCCCAAGAGACCTCACCGCAGGGTCCGTCACCACACGGTTTAGGGACCCTGGAGGCTCCAGTCGCCCGAGACAACCTCGGAGAGGGACTCGAGTCCCAAAACCGTGCGGTGACCCCGAATCCCCACCGACTCACCACACGGTGTGGTCACCCCACCGTTTGGAGGCGACGATTCGGTGTGAGAGGCCGGTCCCGGGAAGTGGGTCGAGCACGCTGGAGGTCGACGCTGCGGAAAAAACACGACGTCGAGGGTCAAAGGGTCTACCCCCCACCCCAAACCCCACCACCCTCCACCCCACCCTTCGGTGGCAACTCATGGGAGCCTCCCATACCCTCTTGTTGGCTCTTGCGGATCGACGCTAATCGACGCTGAATCGACGCTAAATTGACGCTAACCGACGCAAAATCGACGCTCGACTCCCAGACGCTAATCAACGCTAATCGACGCTAAAGACGAAATCAAAAGGGTATACAAGGCTCCCATGATTTGCCACAGAAACACCCCACCTGGGAGCAAGGAGATGACGACACCACCACCAGCACGAGGAGCCGGTGGGGGTGGTCCTCCCAGTGGTGAGGTCCCCCCCCTCCACGCTCGAGACGTCCCCTGCTCACAGCTCGGGAGGCATCGTGTACCTCCCTGCTGGAGATAGCGCCCCTGGTGGTGGTGGTAGTGACGTCGCGTGTTCCTTTCCTCAGATCCCCCCCCGAACACCGATGCGAAGTTGATGGCATGAGATCTGAATGTAAAGATACCCAGGGACGCACAAAACCCATCAACAACGTGTGGCAATATCAGGGGGGGAGAGAGAGGGGGGAGGGAAAAAACAACAAAAAAGTTGTTTGTGTACGTTTCGCTGGCGCAAAATACCAACATCCTCCTATCCAGGACAACCCCCGCATCGAAAATCCCCGTCTTCCCAGAACCAGGACTCCTCCCTACCCAGCGAGAACCACCCACCGGCCATCCTTCCGAAAGTCGGGGGGGCGGGGATTCCGGCCCCACACTATCATCATCATCATCATCATCATCATCATCATCATCATCATCATCATCACCACCACCACCACCATCATCATCACCACCACCACCACCACCATCATCATCATCATCATCATCATCATCGTCATCGTCATCGTCATAGTCATCGTCATCGTCATCACCACCATCATCATCATCATCACCACCATCAGCAGCAGCATCATCATCAGCATCATCAGCAGCAGCATCCTCCTCCTCCTCCTCGTCCTCCTCCTCCTCGTCGTCCTCCTCATCCTCCTCGTCGTCGCCGTCAACGTCGTCGTCGTCTTCGTCGTCGTCGTCTGCCAGCGAGTCGGTCCGTCGGGCGGGCGGGACACGCCGTCGACGTCATGGGCGGGTCGGCCGGGCGAGCGGGCGGGACGGGTCGTCCTCCTCATCCTCCTCCTCCTCGCCGTCCTCGTTTGCTGGCGCCTCGCGGCGTCGCCGCCATGGTCCTCGGCGTCGTCGTCGTGGTCCTCGTCGTCGTCGTCGTTTGCCGGCGCCAGGGGGGGGGCTCCGAACCCCCCCCCGACTCCTGGGGGGGAAGGCAGCTCGATCCCCCCTGACTTCCGCCCGCCAACTCAGAAGACGTTCTTTCTTAGATCACCATACACACGCAAGCTCACGGAGGTGGCGACAGATGCGCAGTTGGCGCCAACTAAGGAGGCGAGGTGCCCAGTTGGGGTCTTGAGAAGACCGCACACTTCTGCACCTCCCACGGATGCTCACAAAAGCTGCGACAGTTTCGCGCCTGGCCGCACCCAGGGAGGCGACCATCTTCGCGCCCCCAAGGGGGGGCCTGCAGAGACGGAACCCCTCCATGAGTCTCGGCGGCGCCCAGCTGCACGAGGAGCGCCTCCGGGGAAGGCCCGCGCTGGGACCCTGGGCCACCTAGCTTCGCACACCGCGGCCCACGACGCGCAACGCGCGATCCTCTTCGCGCCCTCGCGCCCCGGCGCCGCCCCCATGGAGAGCGGGACGCGCGAAGCGCGATCATCTTCGCGCCCCCGCGGGTGACCAAGTGAGCGTTTTCTAATTCGGCGTTTCGACACTAAGTGGAAGGGGGGGGAGGGGGGGGGGGGGGCTCAGGACCTATGCTTAGCGCGGCTGTTTGCAACCGTGCGTCCTATGGGGTAGGGACTCCACCTGATTGAAACAGGCGCCAAAAACAGCCAAGATCTACTCCATGAGGGGGGGGAGGGGGGGAGGGTGAGGGCCCGCGCCGATCGGCAAAACAATGAATAAAAAACGATCACCTGGGGGACCTGAGGGAGCATCGAGCCCCTTCCGAAGCCAAAGAGCACCTGAGCTCAAAAGGGTGTCTGGCTGCAGGACGGGGGAAGCGGGGACAGCTCTTCACGTCGAGGTGGTCACGGCAGGCTCGTGTCGTGGCGACTTGAGCGCTGATGTTTTTGATATTGCGTGGATGTTGTCGAGCTTGAACCATCGAAGTTCCGACAGGCCGATTCATGGTCACTGGTGGCGTTCACCCTTGAATGCCGCGCTAAGGCCGCCATCGCGTCAACGCGGCGCGAACCTACCGTACAGTCGGGGTTGTTTGGAGAGGACACGCGAGAGGACACAAGACCCTTCCGAGAGCCACGTTGCCACAGGAATGCAGGAGGGCACGGGTCGCGAAACACAGGACACAAGGGTACCCTCGATTTGCCAGGGTCGACCTACGAATCAGCCTCGACTCAGGTCGGGCATGTCCTCCTACAAGCGGATTTTGGGCGAAAAATGACAAGATTGTCAAAACATACTCAACAATGGTCAACAAATAATAGAAAAAAACGTCCCCAGAATATGTTTCGACTAATTCCTGAATATCCCTCCTGTAGAGGGACTTGCCCGACTTAAGCCTCGAATGTACGCCCCCTGGCCTCAGCCGAGAGAACATTGGCGATGAGGAGGAGGAGGAGGAGGAGGCGGAGGAGGAGGAGGAGGAGGAGGAGGAGGAGGAGGAGGGGAGGAGGAGGAGGAGGGAGGAGCAGGAGGGAGGAGGAGGAGAAGGAGGAGGAGGAGGAGGAGGAGGAGGAGGAGGAGGGGGAGGAGGAGGAGGAAAAGGAGGAGGAGGAGGAGCAGAAGTAGGAGGAGGAAGAAGAAACAGAAGGAAAGACGGAAGGAAGGAAGGAGATGTCCGGAGGGACCAGGACGGCTCCCATGCATGTGCTGCGCCGCCTTGGAGGCGCGCGTCCGACCCGAACATACAGTATACCCATCTTGTAGTACATCGTTTCCCGAGCGGTGTGGCCAGAAAGCGCCCGCCACGACGCATAGATTACAATATCATGTCTCGGTGCGCGCGTCGCCCCTGGGGTGGGCGACGCACAGATGGTATTAATATGTTGTGGCGACGCCGAGTCAACCCAGACCGGGGTCAGTCGAGCCTTGCAGGAGCCTGCAAAATCCTGCGGGATCTTGCAGGGTCCTGCACCCAAGCCCAGGTCGATGCGATCCTGGCCCTACAGGATCCTGCAAAATCCGTCGCTATGTCTGACCCACGCTTGCAGGGACCACCGTCTCTTGAGCCCCGAACTCGGGCAAGGCAGAGGGGCCTGGCCTTCCTAGAAGGCAGGGGCAGGGGCTTCTTAGAAAGGCCTCCCGCCTCCTGCGAGCCCTGCTTCTCCCGAGCCTCAGAGGGCTTCGTGGGCTTCTCGGACGGCGGGGAGGGATTCTGGAGACGACGCGGGAGCACTGCCTGCGCGCGCAGACTCGGGCGTGGGCAAAACCCTCTTCAGCAAGAGGCCCATTATTATGTTGCATCCTCGGGGGACCCTGTCTGTCCCGTCGCGGCCCTGTCCGCGTCGAATCCGTGTCGAATCCATGTCGGACGCGTCGGATCCGTGTCGAATCCATGTCGAATCCGCGTCGAATCCACGCCAAATCCGCGTCGAGTCCGCATCGAGCACGCGTCGGGCCCCCAAAAAGACACCAATTTTTGGGACAGGCGAGGTCCCCCGAAGATGCAACAGAACCATTAGTGGAAGATGCCAGGGGCACTCCACGTGCGCACGGCACCGCGTTCCGCGTGGGCCCCAGCGGGGCAGCTGGGCGACGTCCGTAGACAGCCAGATGCACCCAGCGGAACGAACGTCGATTACTCCAGATTTCGTAATAAAAGGGAGGGGGTCTCAACCCTCCCAGACCAGAAGTTTTAGACCCCCCCAGACCATCCAGGAAAGGGCGGCACTTTGCCCAGACCCCCCCAAACTCTTCAAGACAGCTCAAATCAGACCCCCCCGCCAAATGTGACCCCCCCTACTTTATTATGGAATCCGGAGTAGCGAAACCGACTGAGGACTGCACTGGCACACTCGAATGCCACTGTCAAGTGAGCCCGTGCGGATTTCCCAAGTCGCCTTGTCTGAGAGGGGGCATTCTGTCAACGCCCGAGCGGGCTTAGGCAACCACGCGTGAACCCTACCCCTGCAGGTCAGGTGTCTGCAGAACCGGCAGGGGCTCAAGATTTGAGCGATGCCCGCAGCCAAGTGTGAGCCCCTTCGGGGGTGTCCGAAACCCCTGCGTCGACCAGACCCGTAGGGGTAGGGCTCGCCATCGGTCGCGGAGGGATGGGACGCCGAGAGACGGGCTCCCCTTTTCTGGTCCGCAGCGCGGTCGCGCATGAGAACCTTTGGCGGCGCGCACAAGGGGGTAATTAGAGGGAGGGGGGGAGGCTTCTAAGAAGCAGAAGCCTTCCCTCTCCCCCTACAGTCGGGCTGCTGAAAGAAGGAACGCAAAATAAGGAACGAAGCCCCTTCTTGGCCCTGTAAGCGCCTCCGTGCCCCAGGAGGGCAAGAGGAACAGCACCGGAGGAACCTGAGGAACATCGAGCCCCTTCCGAACCCAAACTGTTCATTACTTCAGCGTCTTGACTGAAGGAGGAGGAGGAGGAGGAGGAGGAGGATGAGGAGGAGGAGAAGGAGCCTTCCCCCTCCCCCTACCCCCCTCTGCGCGTTGCCCAAAACCTGCCGAGGGCGAGCCCAGCGCCCTGTGCGGAGAGCGGGCCCCGGCACTCTGCGCCGGCACGCGATCTTTTGGCCTTTCGCTCCGGGTTGGGCGCGGAGGCGCCCCCCCCCCAAGGGACAGCCGTCCAGGCTGGCTGGGCGCTCGGACGCGTCATGCACACACACACACACACACACGCACTCACTCCCACACGCACTCCACATTCCCACACACACTCCCCCACACACACTCCCCCACACACACACACACACACACACACACACACACACACACACACACACACACGCACACACACACACACACACACTCCACACTCACTCCCACACTCACTCCCACACTCACTCCCGCACTCACACTCACTCCCACACTCACTCCCACACACACTCACACACACACACAATCCACACTCCCACACACACACACACACACAAACACACACACACACACACTCCACACGCACACGCACACTCCCACACACATCCAACACAGTGGCTCCTTTCGGGGGCACGTGCCCTCTGTGCAGAGCCCGAGTCATAGTAGACTGCCCATACTCTCCTCCTCCTCCTCCTCCTCCTCCTCCTCCTCCTCCGCCTCCTCCGCCTCCTCCTCTCCTCCTCCTCCCCCTCCTCCTCCTCCTTCTACTCCTCCTCCTGGAGCCTGCAGGAAGGGAGGAAAGCAGGAGGACGAGGAAGGGGGTGAGGAGAACGGATGAATAGGACAACGAGAAAGGGGAGGAAGAGCATAGAAGAGGGAGAGGAAGAAGGAAGGGGGGGAAAGGAGGAGGGAGAGGGGAAGGGGGAGGACGGAGCACAGGCAGGAGAACATAGAGGAGGAGGGAGGAGTTAGGGATGAGGAGGAAGAAGAGTCAGACGAGGAAGAAGTGAGGGATGAGGAGGAACAGCACGAGGAAGCAACGATGAGGGGGAAAACAAAAGCAACCCCAGGATGCATCAACAACGCTTCCTTCTGGCTCAAAGAAACGTAACTGACTGTTTTTGCTTAACAAAACACCCAAAAACATAGATAGACCCGTGTTGAGAAAGTGTTGCCCTCCATCCGCGTAACCGTTGCAGAAACTTGAACATCGGGGCGTACACATTCAGAAGTCTCAAGCGAGAGGCGCATTTTGAAAGCAACCTGACCTATATCCTTGCAAATGCTGCGAAGTGTCAAAACGAATGTGTGCGGCGCTGAGGCGTGAGCCGCATTTTGAAAATGACAGGCCCTTGCAACTGATGTCAGCTTTTGAATCGAATGTGCGCGGCGATGCGGCGAGAGTCGCACTTTGAACACGGCTGGCCCTCCATCCCTGTAGTCGTTGGAGCTTTTAGCAGCAGGTTAATAAGAACGCCCAGCTCGGAAACGCCCAGCCGGGCCTACAGACAGGTCTGGTGGTGCGACAAGGGAAAACTATGCATGAGAGACAACAAGGGATGGAGGGGGAGGGGGAGGGGGAGGCGGGAAGAGGAGGAGGCGGAATTGGAGGAGGAGGAAGAGGAGGAGGAAAAGGAGGAGGAGGAGGAGGAGGAGGAGGAGGAGGAGGAGGAGGAAGGGGGGCAGGTACAGCATCAAGCAGCAAGTGCAGCCATCATAGCTAGCTAGCAGCAGCAGCAGCAGCAGCGGCAGCAGCGGCAGCAGCGGCAGCAGCAGCAGCAGAGAGGAGGAGGGAGGACGTGGCAGGAAGTGCGACTGCCATCTGAAGGGGGAGTGGAGCCAAAGACCTATTCCGCACAAGCACGGGCTGAACCTGAAGCTCCGAGTGCAGGTCGGCGATCATGCCCTCGAGCTGCGAAAAGCGGTTGGAAGAGACCCGCTCCACGTCCTCCCGCCTGCGCCTCTCGACGTCCCGCTCGCCTCGGAGCCGCTGGACCTCTGCCTGGAGGCCCTGGATCGCCGCCTCGGACCCCGCAGACCTGTGGGACCTGGCGGAGTCGGGGGCTGGCGCCTCGCCCGGGCGCTCCGCCTTCAGCCGCTGCACCTCCGCCATCAGCTCGCCGATGATCTTCTGCGACGCCTCGGAGCGCGCAGACCCGCGGCTCGCGTTCGAGCGCGCGGACCACTGCAGCTTGCGAGGTTCCGAGGCCTCCGAGCACGCCGAGCGCCCAGACAGTGGCACGGCCTGCGACCTCGGCGTGCCGGGCAGGGCCCCGGGCGCCTGCTGCCCGAGGGCCGCGGCGGGCGCCGGCGACTCCGCCGCACTGCCCCTGGGCGATGCCGCGGCCACGGCCACGAGCGGCCCGAGCCCGCTGGCGTCGCTGCCGGCGGCGCTGCCCGCCGCGCTGCCGCCGCCGGCCACCTGCTCGAAGCCCGCGATGCGCAGCGGCCGACCGGGCGAGGCGGCCGGCGCCAGGGCCCCCGGCTCCTCGAGTCTCCGCAGCGCTGCGGCGAGCAGCCGCCGCAGGGCCTCAAGCAGCCGCCCGCGGCACAGGGCAACGGCGGCGGCGAGCGCCGCAAGGCTCAGAGCGCGCCGGCGCATCGCCAGCGAGAGCATCGGCGCGGGGGCGTCCAGGGGCGCGCGGGCTGGGGAGGCCCGGGCAAAGCAAAAGGGGGTTACACCCAGGAGGGTCACCACTTCCTCGGGGACCCGCCACCTCTTCCAGGAGATGGGGCGCCCAGGATACTCCGGAGCCCCACAAAACAGTCCTTACGTCCAAAGCCACCTCGAGCTTCGATCCTGGAAGCTCGATCCTGAGTAGGAACAGAGGAACTGCTGAAAGTCCCCCCCTTGGCACTGCCCGAGGAGGCGGGGACCTCGCGCGGCACGCTTCCTTGGGGCGCGCGCGACCAGGGGCACAGGGTAACGGAGCCTCGGGAAGCGAGCGCGCAACCGAGCGCGGGCCCTTTTCATATCCCTTCCTTCCAAACTCCCCTAATGTTCCTCCATTCCCATATGTTTTTCCTCCGTCCTAGACATGAGGGAAAAGGAGCAAGAGGCAGAAGAGCGAGGAGGAGGAGAAAAAGGAGGAAGAGGAGGAGGAGGACGAGGACGAGGAGGAAAGGAGGAGGACGAGGAGGAGGAGGAGGAGGAGGAGGAGGAGGAGGAGGAGGAGGGAGAGGAGGAGGAGGAGGAGGAAGAGGAAAAGAGGAGGAAGAAGAGGAGGAAGACATGGAGGAGGAGGATGCGGAGGAGGAGGAGGAGGAGGAGGAGGAGGAGGAGGAGAAGGGGGAGGAGCCATGGAGCCATGGAACCATGGAGCCATGGAGAACGGAGACCGAAACCCGCGCGAGAGGACTGCTGCCTCCTCGCAAAGCGGGCCGCCCTCCGCCCCCACACGGGGAAACCACCCTGCTCACGCGCAGGGGAGGCCGTTCGCTCGTGGACGAGGAGCTCACGCAACACGGCCGAGGTACAGGTCATCGCCTTGTCGCCCCGCGATTCGCTACTCATACGTGATGGCGGTGGTGCATAGGAAAATGGCCACTTCACCTCCTCACTGCGAGGTCCGTCCCACCTGTTAACCCCTGCTAGTGTGTGTGTGTGTGTATATATACATACATAGATATACAAATATATATATATATATATATACACTAGAACCATCGCGAGCGGTTCGCTCGTGCTCAAGTTCTAGCTAGGCTTTTGATCGGCGAACCCACGTAATCTCATGTTGGTCGCTTTCTGCGTCCAGGGACTCCCTTGGAGGCCCTGCGCAATGCCTCGGAATCGTATAGAAGGGGATGTGCGGAAACGCAGAAATCATGAAATTATTTCCTTTAGGTATTCAACGATTCGGGGCCCGCAAAGGTTCCCTGAGTTTTTTTGGGGGAGGTGAAGCGGGTCTGTTGCGCAAGAGTAGGCTGGGGGCCAAACTTGAAAAACAAAACAAACAAACAAAAAAGACTTGTGGGATTTCCATGTTTTTCCTGTTCCTCGGCGCTGTTCGGCGCTGCTTTTGTTTGTGCCTCGCGAGTTTTGTTAGCCGGGCCTCTCAGGGGTGTGGGATCTTCCGGACCCCCTGGGGGTTCTGGAAGCCTCCTGGAGGCCTGGAGAGCCGTCGGAAGGGTGTCTCGGGCTGCGCGGGAGCGGGTTGGGCAATTTTCTACGTTCTGGGGGTTCCTTAGGGTCGTCTTGGGCTGCCCTTGGGCGTCTTGGGGGCCTCCCGGGAAGCCGGGAGGCGCGGTACCTGCCAGATGTCAGGGGATGTGCGGGATCTCCGAATCGGAGTCTCACTTTGAGGGAGAAGGAGAAAAAACAAAAATGGGAATTGTTTTTTCAACAAACAAACAAAAACTTCGAGGGTTGGAAGCGGGAAAATTTCATAAGGTGAAAAACATTAGAAAAACAATGGGAAATCAACGATTGTATCCTCTTTGAGCGCGGCTTTCGCAGCTCTCTTGGGCTGCTCTTGGAGCCTCGTCGGGGTCTTTTTGGGGCCGTTCAAAGATCGGGGGGGTGTTGGGGGCCTCTGGGGGGTCCCGGAGGCCTCTCGGAACTCGCTGGAAGCCTGCTCCCGCTCTTGGGCCCATTTTGAGCCTGTTCTGAGGTAGTCTGGGGCTGTCCTGGGCGCCTCTTCGGCTGTCTTGGAGCCTTCTTTGCTCGTCTTGGGGCCGTCCTGAAGGTTTCTGGGGTGGTCTTGGGGCGGTCTTGGGAGCCTTTTTCGGAGCTCCTGGACCGTTGGAAGCTCGAAAACGCGAGAAGCCAAAAACATCGACGATTTGGGCCTCTTCGGGCCGTCCCGGGACGACTCTCGGACCTCTGTGGGGGTCGCTTGGAGGCCACCTGGGAGCCTCGAGAGCCGTCCGAAGGCTGACTTGGGCTGCTTGGGAACGTCTTAGACCATCCTTTCGCATTCTGGGTGTTCCTGGGAGGTGTCTTGGGCCCTCCTGGGGCGCTGTGGAGGCTCCCTGGAAAGGCCTCCTGGGCTCCTGGGGGGCGTTCTTGGGCGGTTTGGGCGTCTCGTTGGCCGTCTTGGCCCCCTCGTGGGCCGTTTTGGGGCCCTCTTGGGGGTATCCTCGACCGGCTTGGGTGCCTCTTGGGCCGTCTTGGATGCAGTGGACGCCCAAAAAGCAAACACGCCAAAAATATCAGTTATCCATGGGAAATCGACAACGTTTGCTTATTAGGCCACTCTCGGGGCGTTTTCGGAACCTCTTTTGGTGTTTTCTGTCGGGTCTCATGGAGGCCTTTTGGGGCTTCTGGGCCCCTTCTTGGAGCCTCTTGGGATCTCCTGGGGGTCTCTTGGGCCAAACAAAAGGCCCGAATTTCCGGTTCCTCGTCCCCATCTTGGGCGCCGCCTTGGGGCGTTCTTGTGCGGTTTGGGCGCATCGTGGGCCGGGTTGGCCCCTTCGTGGGCCGTCTTGGGGCCCTCTGGGGGGCATCCTCGACCGGCTCGGGTGCCTCTTGGACCGTCTTGGACGCAGTGGACGCCCAAAAGGCAAACACGCCAAAAGTATCAGTTTCCCATAGGAAATCAACGATTTTGTCTTATTGGGCCTCTCTCGGAGTGCCTCTCGGGGCGTCTTCGGGGCCTTCGGGGGCCTTCTTGGCGTCATGGGAATCGTCTTGAAAGGCGTCTGGAGCCATCGCTGCGGCCTCCTGGGGCCCCCCTGCAGCCTCTTGAGGCCCTGTTGGCCGCACGTCGCCGAAACCCCGTTGGAGAGAAAAAAAACAACAACAACAACAGAAAAACAAACAAACAAAAAAAACAAAAAACAAAAAAAACAAAACAACAAAAAAAAAAAAAAACGACGCCAGGTCCCCCCATGCCCTGTCGAGGTCGCGGTCCCGGGCCCCCGGTCCTCGTCCCCCGAAATACACACACACACACACACACACACATATATATATATATATATATATATATATGTATATCTTATATACATACAAACATTACATTACATAATACATCATACATACATACACACATACATCAAACATATACTTGCTCGCCGCCCCACCCCCCCACATGATCATACACATTCTCCCATCATCCCTCCAGTCATCATAACCCGTTCCTTCCTCTTGTTTTTCTTCATGATGGTTTGCTACGTTGCAAACCGCAATTCCGTCGATTGCAATCCAAACACTTCAGCGCGAAGCGACTTCAGTCTTTCGCGGCGCATTGCAATCCAATCTCACCATCTCATGTTTATGATGCCCCTCCTCCTCCTCCTCCTCAGCATCCTACTCCTTCTCAACCTCAAGCTCCCCCTCCCTCTCTTTCTCTTTCTCATCTTTCTTCTTTGAAGCTTTCTCCACCTTCTCCTCATAATTGTCCTCTCCTCCTCGTCCTCCTCTTCCTCCTCCTCCTCGATACCAAACGCATTGTCCTCCTCGTCCTCCTCCTCATGTTCCTCCTCTACCGTCTCCCAATCCTCCTCCACATCCTCTTCCTCCTTATGTTTGTCTTCTTCCCCCCCCGCTTCAAAATCAAATGCATTGGCCTCAACTCTTCTTTTCCTCCTCCTCTTCCTTCTCCTTCCCCTCGTCCTCCTCATTCTATGAATCCTCATCCACTTCTTCCTCATGTTTGTCCTCATCATTCTCCTCCTCCTACCCCCTCTCACTTTCAAACTCCTTGTCCTCCTCTTCCTCCTCCTCCTCCTCCTCCTCCTCCTTGTCCTCTTCATATTCATTCTCTGAATCCTCCTCCATCTCCTCTTCGGCATGTTGTCCTCCTCCTATTCCGATTCCGCAAATTTAAACTCATTGTCCTCCTCCTGCTTCTCTTCCCCTCCTCCTTCTTTAAATTATCCTCAAGCTCTCCCTCATGTTTGTCCTCCTCATCAGAATCCTCCTACTATTCTTCCTTCTCCTCCTTCTCTGAATCCTCATTCACCTCTTCCTCCTCCTCCTTTTCCTCCTCCTCCCAATGTTTGTCCTCCTGCTCATCGTCTCCTCCTCCTCCCCCTCCACCACCTCCTCCTCCACCTTCTCCTCCAAACCATATTTGCCCTACTCCTCAAAATTGAGCCCCTTGTTCTCCTCCTCCTCCGCGTCATCTGGTGAATGCCGAGCTCCAGTGGCACCAGCCATAGTTGAGCAACATCTTCCCCCATTTTCCACCGCCTCTTCCTAGCTGTGGAGGGGCGTTCACAACAAGTTTTGTGAATAATGATTCGTAGCGGAAGGTTGCTCGCAAGGTTTGTTGTGGAGTAGCATTCGCACTTAGATTGGAGGGTAACGCCTCGAAGTGGAGAGGAGGGGGCTGGGTGATCAGGAGCCGTAGCAGCAGGAGGAGTAGGAGGAGGAAGAAGAGGAGGGTGAGGAGCATGACGAAGGTGAGGAGCAACACCTTACTCACAAAACTAGGTGTGGAGCGGCGTCCACAGCTAGTTTTGCGAGTAATGTTTCGTAGCAGGAGGCTGCTCACAAAACTGGTTGTGGAGCTGCGTTCACAACTAGATTTGCGAGTGACGCCACGAAGCGGAGAGGTGGGGATAGAGTGAAGAAACGAAGGAGGAGGAAGGGGGAGGAGCAGGAGGAGTAGGAGGAGGAAGAAGAGGAGGGTGAGGAGCATGACGAAGGTGAGGAGCAACACCTCACTCACA